GTCTCTTCCACAAGATTTGTCAGCCGGGAAAGAATGGTAAGGACTATTTATCTTCCTTCAGAGTACAAAATATTCATAGCCTCCAACCAAAGGTTATGGAAGATTAGAATGCTTATGATATCATACTATTGATCGCTATCACAGGAAAATTCTCAGACGACGTGTTGAGAAAGATGGTGCTCGTTCTAAGCCACTTGTTCGGCAGACGATACCTTCACCCTTCATACAAACGAGCGGTCCATTTGTGCCCGACGTCAAAAGTATGTTTTTGTAAATTTTGAAAAATGTAAAGCTGTTTTAACACGCTTTATTGAGCAAACTTGTGTTAGTTTTTGTCATTTGGTATGAATGATAACGTATCATCATAACAAGTTTGGTCATTATTATCAATCTATCTTGACGCCCGCCTTTATGATCAACCAGAATATATTTAATCATTCCGTTCTTTAGTGCAGTTAAATTTGGCCTTTCCAGAGAAGTACCCATTAAGTGGCGGGATAGAAGAGTAATACAGGGCCTGTATTGGGAGAGAGACATTTCTATCTTAACCAACAAATAAGTATTGCAGAAGAAAAGTACTTAGAAAAATTAAAACTTATGAGAATGTCTAGAAAACGCTCTGGCACCGGTTTTTCAAGGGGTGGATAACGCTATCCGCTGGATAAATCTCTATATGGTGGATAGCGTTGTAAATTTTGTTGACATTTATCCACATGGATAGCGAGTTATCCATCATTTGAAAAACTGGGCTTAGTTGTTTATTGACTGGTCATTGTAGAGAGATAATTTGGCATTTACCGCACACTTTTGTGACCGCAGTCGTCTTGGAGTTGCTAAAGTAAGAGTAAGTGTCTAAACCGTTCCTCAAGACAAATTGAATACCGTATATGAGCTTATTAAGCTTCTTCTTCTCACTTGCCACAGCATATTTCAAGGGACTTAGCTGCATCTCAGTTGAGCCCGTTTCGTTGCTTGACTAGCATCAGCTTTCCTATGCTTTTAAAAACAGATGATTCTCACTGCTTGTTTTTCGGTTTTTGTTTTTCTTTTACGTATCTCATCCCTTTGAAGGTAATTTTGGAGGATCTTCCAGATGAATTTGCTACGGCTCTAAGAGAGTACAACCGCCAAGTCACAGATGTCTTTAGTCAGTACCTCACTACGGTGGCTGCAGACCTCGAAAAGGAAAGAGGAGAGGAGAACAAACTCCCTTTATCGGGCATAGGTAAAATACGATCCCTTATTATTTTATATGTGACCATTTTTTTTACCAATGGTCGTCATACTATGATTTGTTGGTTATTTTGGCGGCAAGTAAAATTTTTAAGTGGATCCATCACCAGTTCCTTCGAATTGTAAGGCTCCGTTTTCCGTGAAAACAATTATTTGTATTTCACGGCATTGACAAGAATTACACTTGACATGTTCTGTCAGCGTTTGTTTGTTTGTTTGTTTCTGTTTTTTTTGCAAGCGACACTAACGAGTCAGCTCTGCGCAACGGCTAAAAGGAAGGCCTTGTGCTATTTTGGCAACTCTATTTCCAGATCGAAGAGGATAATTCTTGGCAAATTTCTCACTCTGGGCTAAAAAGGCCCCTCTCCTTGGTTTACTTACTTCGGTCCACATTCCCATACGAAGTACATCGTACATTGGTTAATTGCTGTACAATGTACCTATGGTAATAGTTCAAAAGAGAGAAACACCCGTGAGCAAGGTTAAGCTTAACAGTAAACGTAGGTAAATTCAATTTTGAAGTTAAAATGTTCTTATTTACCAAACGGAGTAAACTTCTTTTGCAGAATTTCCAAAGCAAGCAAGCGTTGGTGACGATGAAAAGTACGATGTTATCGAAGGGCTCGTGTCCTCATCCATACCGTACTCCGCCTGCTCTTCCTTCGCTGCATTGTCGGGAAATTCAGACATACAATTGCATTCTTCAAGCGAGACCGCAGCCAGTTATCCAAAATCACACGAAAGAAATGTCGACGTCGCCAAAGAGAACGCAGCAGTTGAGCTTTATGAAGAAGATATAGAAGAAGAACCAATTGATCATCTGCTTGAGGTGAAAAAAGTTTCCCAATACCCCACGTCCCTTAAAATTTTGAAAAAGTTCTCTAACACTTTCGACGTGATTTCGCAAGATTGCATGCATTTTGTTCTTTCGTCATTTTAATTAGTAGCATACTTGTAAAAGCCTTCGGAAACTGCTTGCACTTCATTCGGTGGAAGTTTTCTCAAACAACCTAAACGATCAAACACTGGTTAAATTTATTTGCTGACACTTGATCCTGAGAAAACTGCCAAATATGAGTTTTTTACCTAACAGTTCTTTCACGTTTGGAACTACATCATTTCAAAACAATCTGTATTTTCTCTTTTCGTACTTTATATGTTTTCACTTACTCTTTTTACTCTTGACTGTACAGTTACGTGAAGCATCGTCGAAACGTCATCACAATACTTTTACGAACAGTTTTTATAAATTTTTAAAAGTTTTTATGTATTTTAACAACGGTTTAGCGTTGAACTTTGCAATCAAATGTGGTTTCGTCCTGTGGCAGTTTAAGTAGTTACAACACCAATTTAATACCGTTGCCAAATTCGGCTACCACTTTTTCTTTCAGATTGTTCGACGAGATGTTTACACCGACATCCATGTTGTTCCCATCCTCCGGCTGAAAAAATGCAACTCAGTCGGAAGTGCTATGCCCTTGAATGCTTATGCTCTGGATTTTTTCAAGCACGGGTCTGCCAAAGTCATTGAGAAAGAAAACGGGTCAGTAAGTAAATCACAGACGTATTTGTAAAAGTTCTCCAGTGAGAGAAGCGAAGAGGTATCTTGATCACTGGATCAAGGAAAGATAGATTTTTAGAGCTTAACACTTTCATCACAGTGTCACCCTTCACCCAGGTGGTACAAAGTGTTAGAGAAATCCACTGAAATGCTTAGACAACCTACAGTGAACTAACATCCCATTCCAAGAGGAACACATCATTACCCTTAGTCACTCCATGCCTTGAAGCACCCTCTGACAGTTATAAGTCACCTGCCTTTGAATTTTTGTCAACCCCCCAAGTCTTCATTTATTCATAAGCCTCTGTTCTCTGTGTCACGATTGCTGAACATTGGGGAAAAACTGTATTGTAAACTAACCGTCAAGCTTATTCCCCATGGTTAGAGAGACATTACGTACCTTTCGAGTTAAAATTGGGTGTGGTTAGCTAAAAGATTCGAGGAAACCACTTGTTATTGGCGTGCATATCTTTTAGTGACTCACATGCCACCACTTTTCATACAAATCTTTAGGAGTTGTATTCAGGCGTGAATTAAAGTTGAATGCACGTTTATTTCGTAGAATCAAGGCCGGAGAAGTTTTTCAAGTGTTAAAGGATTTTGTCCTAACCATGAAGTCAATCAGGTAAAAAATGGTTATACGTAATGCAGTGTCGACGTTTCAGTCAATGTTCTATGACTAACGAAACATCCAGTCCTGATCGTCTTACGAAACTCGACGAGATGTATGTAAAGGGCGAGTGATAAAGTAAACTTTGTACGCGAGAACGAAAGAAAACAATCGGTTAAGTGTTGTTGTTGCTGTAGTAGTTCTTGTCATAGGATTAACCCTTGTGGTTGAAAGCTATTGACGCGTTTACGGACACTTCAGTTTGCTGTTTCCTCCAGCTGCAGCCACTAAGAAATTAAACGATAAATTCTAAAAGTCGCATGGTAGGAGATCTTGGCTCGGTAAGTTTAAGTCAGGGAGTATTAGGGTATTTATTAGGGAAATAACTTTTAACTTTAAATTTTCTTTATTCGCAGTACTTCTCTGGAAGAGCTGGGTCCCGAGGGGGATAACGTGGTGGTAGCTTTCAAACAGCTCGCCGAGGAGTATGGAAACAAGTTCAGAAAGCAGTTTGATGCGGACATTTGAAATAGTCCTCCCCGTAGTTGATTAAATGTCCTTAGAGGAAATCAGTAAGTCAACGAAAGAAAGGATTTGCCGATTGCTAACCGATTTAAAGTTATAATTTTTGAGGAAAACCATAGGTGATCAATGCGGAAAACTCTTGTTTTCTAAAGAAAGAGTTAACAATAAATTTGCAAAGGTAATAGTATTCTGATAAAACTCGTGATTATCTTTGAGAGTCAACCTCAAACTCGGAGGTTTATTTTCTCAAAGTCAATAGTGCTAAATTTCGCGATTCAATCGTTCTCAACTTCATTTTATATTTCAAAATGTCAACTTTTGACAACTACGCGAAAGGTATTCGAAGGATTGTTTTCGAACCTAGCGATTTAGACGAGGATGATAGCAAGACTTTCTACTATATATAAGAAATCTTTGAAGTTTAACCTAGTCTCACAACGGAGGATCCAACAAAGAATTTACCAGTAAGCGAGGCTAATCTGAATTACAGCGGCACGACTTTCAAATCTCAATGCTTTTGTGCAAATGCGAATCAAATGTTGTACTTCGACGTGTCTATAATTTTTTACCTGATCGCGAGTGTCCATCCCCGATAAATCCATCTTTGCAGGTGCAATTAGAAGACCCAACAGTATTGGAACACTTCGCATTCTCGTCACAAACGTTTTTGTTGCCTTTGCATTCATCGATATCTAATTTGAAAGTAATCGAAAGAAAGCATTGCCAGCAGCGATTCCTTGAACCGAAAAGAAAGGAATTAGGTGACCAAAACATACTGTAAACTTACTTACCTTCCATTTTCATGTCGCAGTAGAGCAACACTTCTTCCCCGACACCAGTTGGATCCAACCATTACTTTTTACTGAAGGTTTCGTTACCTTTACTTAACCTTATCTTGTGGCACGATAACGCTAGTAATTTAGCAATGGAACCTAAGGGGGGCTGCAATAAAGATATAACTTAATTTCATACATACTGAGATCTACACATGAAAAAAGGCCTGCGACAAATTCGTACGAAATACTCAACCAACCAATCAGAAAAGCGAACGACTGTGAAAATGCTTCGTCCAATCAGAGACACGAACGATAGTGCTTCACAGTGGAGGGAAAAAAGCACGCGGCTTTCTGTAAAACAAAGTAGAAGAAGAAGTGCCAAGACTCACTCTGAGCAAGAAAACAAAAATACGATAGCAAAGACCGACAGAGACGTAAGCCTGCTAAAAACCTTTCTTTAAAAGAAGGTAGAGCTTAGAAACATTTAAGAAATACCTCCTGCTTAACTCAGTGAATTGCTGAACGAGTTCGTGCTCACTGTCAGAACCAAAGATAGAAATGACCACGAGCCAACATCACCGCGAGGGATCATTCCCAGCTTTGAACGGAAAAACTATCAAGCTTGTATCATCAACGATTTAGCGTTTGAAGAAACTCGAAAAACGCTGATGTCCAAGCAAAAACAGCTCAAGAAACAAGGGAGAGGCAACAAACTAAGGGCGTATGTATCTTGGACAGAAATATTCATTATCTTTGTCTGTCCTTTAGAGGTAAATAGTAGTTCTTGTCTTGTGTTTATTCTTCAAGGTAAATGTACTCTGCCCTTTTTGGTTGCGAAAGCGTATCTTTCGATCATTTTTTTAATATAGACCTGGAAAGTCTATGTAACTGAGCAATATCCTTTCCGACAGGCGAACAGCTTGGCTTCATTTGTTCCCAATTGTGTGAATAAATTACATATGGTTTAGTTGCCACATAAGAGTCGACGATCTTGAGTTTAGTGTAGTCTACCGTGGTTGTGATTTTTGTAGTAAAACGTGCGCGCGAGATTCCAAGAAAATATATCTGAGTCCAGGAAATGTTCTTGTCGTTCATTTACAATCCAGTGAGGTACTCAGCCTAAAAGAGTAAAACGTCTTTAAAGATTCGTAGCCATGCAACGAACGGATTTTCTATGACTGATCTGCTAAAATAAACTGGTAACGTAGGTAAATCAAACTAGATAAATTGAGAAATTTTCAAAGTGGAAGGTATGTATCCTAAAAGGAACTTTACTCAAAATGATAAACCCGTAATGCATTAAGCTGTTCTCTGGTAAACAGATTTCCCGAACGTGGGTTGAAGTAGTTTTCTCTGTAAACATTGCAGTGAATTATTTTTCAGGGTTTACTCTGTTAGCGAATGTTTCGAGTGTTGGGACGGAATTACGTGATTGAATCTCCACGAAATAACCCCTCATCATGTAAAATTAATGTCCGATAATAATTGTTTTAAATTGACTTGAAAATATTAACGGATTCAGCGCAATCAAAACGAGAATAAAGCAAAGATATTTTCATCTTATCGAAGCAAAACGGTGTCACTCTACGACCTTTTACTGTTTGTTTTCAAGTTAAGTCTATCTCATGAGGGCTTTTATTCCAAGATCAACACTTAAACTGCTATGTATATCCAGGAATCGACTCTGCAGATTTATCAACGCACGGCGGAAGCTTTGATGTACGAGAGCGTTAAAAGACTTACACACACTTGTTGCATCATCAACAGCTTTTTCAGATGGAAATAACATAAAACTAAATCGCTATTTTCCTATTTCTAACGATTTTAAATTTGTTAATCTCATTATATTTAGCGTCCAAAATCTATCTTAATGGTCATGAAGAGTTATTCCACGCGGTCAGTAAACTTGCAACTTTTGCGCGTGCAGTGAAACAAATTGGTAACCTTAGGTGGCACTGCCTCGATATAAAAGTGATTTTTCAATAGTGGCCAAAAACTTAGTTCTCAAATCTCGGGATTTGGGTTAAGATTTTGTTCACCATTAATGCAGATATACTATACCTCCTCAAACCTTGCTGCAAGCTTTATAGAAGGGTAAAGAGGAACTAGAGTGGAAGACGAAGGCAACTATCAGCTGGATACAGTTTTATGGTGTGATAACTCCGCCCAGTAACAGTGAAAAGTCTGATCCTTTCGCTCCGGTGTCTCGACGAAAGAAAGCAAGTCCTCTGCCCTACATTTTGGGGATTGCAGGCGCAGTGCTATTAAGTATTGTCGCTCTTCTGTTTGACTGGTTAGAATACCAGGGACCCTTACCAAACCACAACGGCAAGGGTAACGAGGACGTGGCAAAAAAAAAAAATGCAATCAACAGAACAGTAGCTTAGCACGGGCAGTTTCAAACTTTGTCGACGTTTTTTCGACTGTTTAAGGTTCCTAACGCTTTCTGGGTTCGAAGGACTCCATGTGCATATCATGACCAGTTCGACCAGCTTCAACAATGAAATTAATTTCATTTCTTACCAAAAATGTTACTTTATCTAACAACATCTTTAAGTCGTGGAAAACTTATATTTTCTCAAACACAAAGAAAGGAGGGGAGAAGCACTCAAGATTATTTGCTTTGAAATCATTTAAGGATTTTGAAGGATCATTCTTCGGATATGGTCAAAATCATTAAGTGTAATCTTCCGACAGCATTTGTTGTCATCGAAAGCTTTAAAACCTATCGAAGAAATAAACATGAGCCAGAATATTCTGGATAGCATGACTGACCTCAGTTTGATAACTCTCAGGACTGAGCATGTGCAGAACAGGGTTTATCCGTTAGATGAAAATGGGACACCTCCCCCTCCTTTGCATGAGAATCAATCTGACACCACTGTGCTACTGTCCCGAGCAAAAGCGAACGATTCCTGCGAGGTAACACACTTCTCGGTGATAAAATCATGGGTGGCAGAGTTATTTTATCGTTATTATATAACAAAAATAAAACTGTAAAACTGAACTTTTCGCGAGCTTAAGAAATATATTTGCGACAGGAAGTAAGCAGAGTAGGTCCCGCAACGCTAAAAAAAAAAGGCTTACTTGCTGGCTGAACCTGATATATAATCCCCTCTTGGACCATTTTGGTGGTATTTCTTACTGTTTGTGACTGACATTTTGATCACCTTTTTCCCGTCGGTACTGATAAATTAATTTAACAAAGTCGTTTCGTTTAAAGATGATACCCATTGTAATCACGAAATAAACGCACAAGCGAGACCACAAATGATAACATTGTCTCATCAGTGACATCAAGAAGGCTGGAAAAATCTGTTTTTATTTTGCTACGGGACAACGAAAATTTAAGCCTCAAGGAAGACTATGATGTTCAGCCAACTGGAACTATGGATGAAAATTATGTAAGAAAAGAGGAGTTCCAAACCTAATTCCACAACAGATTAATTTAGGGTGCTTGCCATTCAACCGACCCGTTCAGTTGGGAATTTGATGCATAACCATTTCATGAGTAAACTCTTAATGTGTGATTCAGGGGTGATATTTTGAGGAGAAATTAGATGTTAGTCAC